TGGCTACTTAAAAAAAAAAAAAAAAAAGGAGTGGGATGATAGATTCAAAGTACTGAAAGAAAAAAAAAACTGCCAACCAGGAATACTCCACCTGGCAAAGTTGTCTTTCAGAACTGAAGGAGAAACAAAGACTTTTCCAGACAAGGAAAAAGCTGAAGCTGAGAGAGTTCATCTCCAGTAGACTGCCCTTGCAAAAAAATGTTAAAGTTGAAAGGAAAAATGCTAATTAGTAACATGAGATAATATGAAAGTATAAACCTCACTGGTTAAGGTAAATATATAGTTAAGTTTAGAATACTCTAATGTTGTAATGGTGGTGGGGAAATCACTTATAATTCTAGTATAAAGGTTAAAGACAAGGGGCACCTGTGTGGCTCAGTTGGTTAAGTGACTGCCTTTGGCTCAGGTCATGGTCCCAGGGTCCTGGAATCGAGCCCCACATCGGGCTCCCTGCTCAGCGGGGAGTCTGATTCTCCCTCTCCCTCTGCTGCTCCCCCTGCTTGTGCTTTCTCTCTCTCGTAAATAATATCTTTAAAAAAGTTAAAGACAAATGTATTAAAATAACTATAACTGTAATAATTTATTAATGGATACACAATGTAAAAAAGAATTGTGACATCAAAAACAAAATGGTTGAGGGCAGCGTAAGAATATAGAGCTTTTGTATGCAAAGTTAAGTTGTTATCAGCTTAAAATAGACTGTTATAAATATAAAATGTTTTATATAAAACATAGTAACCACAAAGCAAAAACCTATAGTAGATATACAAAAGAGAAAGAAAAAGGAGTCAAACCAGAGAAAATCATCAAATCACAAAGGAAGAGAGCACTGGAGGAAGAAAGGAAAAAAGGAATTAGAAAACAACCAGAATTCAATTAACAGATGTCAAAGGTAAGTCCATATCTATCAATAATTGCTGTAAATGTAAATGGACTAAATTATCCAATCAAAAGATACAGTGTAGCTGAATGGATAAATAAAAAGACCCAACTATATGCTGCCTACATGAGCCTCACTTCAGATGTTAAGGACACACACAGACTGAAAGCAAAGGATGGAAAAAGATATTCCATTGAAAGTGGAAGAATTAATATTGTTAAAATATCCATACTATCCAAGATAATCTACAGGTTCAATGTAATTCTTATCAAAATTTCAATGGCATTTTTCACAGAAATAGAAAAAAACAATCCTAAAAGTGATATTGAACAACAAAAGCCCTGAATAGATAAAGCTATCTTGAGAAAGAAGAGCAAAGCTGGAGTCATCACGGTTCCTGATTTCAAACTATATTACAAAGCTACAGTAATCAAAACAGTATAGCATTGGCAAAAAAACCCCCAGATACATAGGTGAGTGGAACAGAATAGAAAACCCAGACATAAACCCACACATATACAGTCCATTAATTTATGACAAAGAAGCCAAGAATATACAGTGGGGGGAGGATAATATCTTCAATAAATGGTATTAGGAAAACTGGATATACACATGCAAAAGAATGAAACCAGACTATCTTACATCATACACAAAAATCACCTCAAAATGGATTAAAGACTGAGATACAAAACCTGAAACTATGAAACCCCTAGAAGAAAAAATAGGGGGTAAATCCTTAACTTTGGTCATGGCAAAGATTCTTTGGATTTGACAGCAAAGGCAAAGGCAACAAAAGCAAAAATAAACAAGAGGGACTACATCAAACTAAAAAGCTTCTTCACAGCAAAGAAAACCATCAACAAAATGAAAAGGCAATCTAACAGATGGCAGAAAATATTTGCAGCTCATATATCTGATAAGGAGTTAATATCCAAAATGTGTATGAAACTCTTACAACTCGGGATGCCTGGGTGGCTCAATGGGTTAAGCATCTGCCTTTGGGTCAGGTCATGTTCCCAGGGTTCTGGGATCGAGTTCCACATCAGGCTCCTTGCTCAGTGGGGAGCCTGCTTCTCCCTCTGCCTCTGCCTGCTGCTCCCCCTGCTTGTGTTCAATCTCTCTCTCTCTGACAAATAAATAAAGTTTTTATTTAAAAAAAAAACTCTTACAACTCAGTATAAAAAAAAATTCAACAAAACAACAAAACAAAATAAATAAAAAAATAAAAACCAAAACCAAAATAAACCCCAAGCAACCTGATTAAAAAATAGGCAGAGGATCTTGGCCAAAATTTAGAAGATGCTGTGAATATCATTTTGAACTAGTTAAATATATGAAAGATAAAACCTTAAAAAAATAGGCAGAGGAACTGAATAGACTGAGTAGATATTTTTCCGAAGAAGGCATACAAATGGACTTCAGGTACCTGAAAAGGTGCTTCCTAATAATCAGGGAAATGCAAATCTAAGACACAATGAGATATCACCTTAAATTTGTTAGAATACCTATCATCAAAAAGGCAAGAGATAACAAGTGTTTGGTGAGGATGTGGAGAAAAGAGAATGCTTATGCATTGTTGGTGGGATTGTAAATTGGCACAGTCACTATGTAAACCAGAGTTTAAAAGTAAAAATGGAGCTATGATATGATCCAGCAATTCCACTTCTGGGCAAATATCCAAAGGAAACGGAAACATCATCTCAAAGAGGTATTTGCACCTCCATGTTCATTGCAGCATTTAGTCACAGTAGTCAAGATATGGAAACAGCCTAAGTGTCTGTCAATGGATGAATGGAAAAAGAAG